CAACGAATAACCTTATAGTTCGATGTAAAAAGTTCAGAGCTAAGTATTTCACTTGAGAGTATAGTTTCTGCTAACACTATTATATCATAGTCACAAGCACACACGGATGTAAACTCAATCCACGAACATTTTGGTAATAACACTGAAATTCATTTTTAACTTTAACGTAATTTATATCGTCGGCCGGGTTCAATTTTTTTGATCTTTTACTATTTGAGGAACCCCTCGAATATAACGGTTAGTTAGGTTACTTTCGGTCTTATCTAACCTCTCCCTAAGTGACTGTCTCAATTTCTCCATTCGCTCACGCTGCATTGGAGTTTGATCTCCATGAATTGTGATTGGATTGTTTGAGGAAGGTTGTTTTTTAATCATCTAGCAAGCAGATAAACATCTTTAAATATACCATGCTACAGACTACCTTATAACCTGACTATTCCTTATTCAAGTACTAAGTTATTTCGGTTTAAAAAAATGCGCTTTTTCTGCACAATTTATACTTGTTAACGTATTTTCCTCAAAGTGAAAAATCTCTATTGGCTGTACTTTGACGTCCATCAGTCCGTCCGTCCCTCCGTCTGCCCGTCACACGTACTCCTTCTAAACCACTGAACCGATTTGGCGATATAGGACTCATTTGAAAGGGCATGGTCCAAGGATTCCGTGCATACCCAGATATTTTGGTTTTGCGCATGCGCAGTGTCAAAAATTTGGTTTAACGCATGTGCGACGCTAACTTTTTTATTTATGAAGATATTTAAATTAAACGTTATATGTAAACACTACGAATATAAGTAAAATTAACGACATTTTCAAAATCTTGTTTTGCGCATGCGCAATGCCAACTTTCTTATTTATGAGGGCATTTAAATATCGTACTATGTAGGCCCTTTGAATGGAACTAAAACTAATATCGGTTTCAAAATTACTGTTTACACATGCCGTATGTTTTACTTGTGAAGGTATTCAATGAAATTTCTAATGTAGACAATGCGCAATGCTATTTACGAAAGCATTTATAAAAAGTTCCATATGTAGACACTTCGAATGAAAGTAAAACTGATACCCATTTCAAAATTTGTATGTATTTGTATACGCTCCACTATTTTTCATTAAGCTGTATACACTTCGACGATAGGCGGTTCATTTGAAAGAGAATGGGGTAACGATCTTGTGCCTACCGGTATTTTTTCCTGGTCTTAGCATTAATATTACTAGGAGGAAAATACGCTCTCGTCATATTTTATGTTTGCATAATCAATTTTTTAAACTTTTTAATCTCTTGTGCGCTTGACAATGCTTGGGTGTAGGTTGTTTTACCTGAATTAGTAGCCTTTTTGAGAATCTTCTAAGGTACCATCGTAACTTTGAGCTCTTTGATCTGAAAATTTGTTCCAAGCTGCATCATGTACCAGACTTCAAGAGTAGATAAAGGCCGTATTTAACGATAACTGAGGGTACATTTTTTTGTTTGTTTACTAATAAACCGTGTCGAGTGAACTGCTCTGTTTTCAGCAAGATATGCCACCGTTTCACACAATTTCCTCACGAACGAACTCTCATTTCCAGCTATCAAACGCACGTATGAGCGTCTAAATGAGATCGTTATTCCTGCTAATAATCGACGGGACCGAAATTAATTATTATTAGTTTAGCACACACGGTCCTTGGGGCAGCGCAATCTAAAATATTGTTAACGCAGTTGTCCGAACCGGCGGCGAACCCCAATTCAGATTTAATTAAGATGTAAAGAAAGCAAATAGAAAATAAATTGGGATACGCATTACAGCAACAGCAAGAAATTCTCCGATGAGGTTTCCCAAGCTACCCGAATTAAATGATGTGTGTTTGTTTAGCGTGCGTACACAAAACCTTAACCATCTTCCCATTTTTTGTGCGTAAATAAAACATCTCAAATCCTTCGTATAAATATAAATTGTCGATTTCGTCGGGTATCGATCCAATCAAGTGAGAGGGTAACCGAATGCTAATGTTAACAGTTGTTTAATTAATGGTTATGATTTTCCAGATTTCTTAATCGTTCAGAAAACTCAAATTTCTCCGCTAATTCGTTTTACTAATTATGCCTGGGCCGTTTTATTGAATGGTTCGTTAGGGTTTAACTGGGTTATCGATTTTTATGCCAAGAAAGGAATAACATTTAACACGAAGGGAGGAAATTAAAAAGGACATTTGAATTACTTTCTTTCTAGGTGGCGATGATGCTTTACAGTAAGGGTTTTCGTAGTGAAATACGTATTTTGTTAACCCTTTTCCTTTACTAAATTTATTCTTGCCTTCGGCAAGCTGACAAGGTTGTTTATTTAGTAAGTAGGTATACGAAACGTGATGTGACAGGGAAAAAGAATGACTGCACCAAGTGGCTTTAAATGCTATTTTTTAGCGGTAAATTCTATAGGTACACAAAGGCCATGCAATTTAAAATTTTTGAGAGAAATTGGTTGGCAAGATTGTCCAAGAGCGTGCCCTGAGAAAATATATAAAAACGTTTTGCAGTTAGACTGGGAAGATTGTCCTTGTTTTGTATCAGAATTATTAGTTGTTAATTTTGTTTAAATAATAACCTTGTATTTTGTTTATTTGTCCAATTTTAAAAGACAACATTTCAACATGTGGAAATAATTGCGTAGGGTTTTGTAATCTTCGATCGTAGGTAAGAAGTATTGTTATCGTGGCGTAGGCTAATTAGTTCCTAGATAAGAAAACACAGGCGCAGATTATCGTTAGTGGAGGAGACAGTTAAAAAGAAAAGGAAATGGTTTTAAATAGAGGAGACGGATGTTGGGCGGGACTTTTTGGTGGTGGACCTGAATTTTTGTTTGGTGGTGGACGTTAATGGTTATTACGTAGCAGCTTATTGACAGTTTGGCGTATTTAAGAGTATTATTGCAAGACAGTTCGTCTGGTCAGTTGGAAAGTTTTTGTGGAAGAGAATCAGTTTTAATACGTCGTTGAAAGGGAATGTTTAAGTCGAGTTAAGCGGAAGAGTGTTTTACGGTGACGATGAAGTTTAGCGGACTGATGTTTGCGTTTATCGCTTAGATGAAGCCTTTCGCAGTAGGTACCAAGCCATCAAAAACTTATTTTACATAAATATAATTACAACGAACCCAGTGTAGTTTTACTCTAAATTTGAGTCCAACCAAAGAAGTGAAATTCCGGAGTCTCTTCAGTTTCTGTTTGTTTGTGCGTCATTTATTGTAAATCGTACCCAGCAAACACATTTTACGTTTAAAACCGTTTTAAAGCGTTTTGAAAGGATAAATTCGGTATTGGTAGTATGATATATGTCTTTGTGTAGACCGATTTTATACTTACGTTTAAAATACGATTTTTATTCATATATAAACCATAGAGTTCAATTTCTACGTTGATAATACGTATATAAATATCCGTTTCTTAGCATTCGTTTTATAAACGTATAAAACGTCACTTTAATATATGCATATACGCATTTAAATCGTATATCAATGGGAAATAATAAACGCATAACATTCCTACAGAATCCATCCGCCGGACTTTTATGCGTATTATAGATATACGTAGGGTTTTAGCCTACAATCAACGCTTTTTATACGGAACTGTTGCTAGGGTAGTTATGATCGGTGATTTTGGATTATTAACACTTTAGGTAATTAAGATTTCTTTAATCAAATGTTTCTAGCGATCGCTTTTTGGATGGTATTTGTCTTCTGGCTCTAAGTGCCTCTATTTCTTTCAGATTATTTGATTGATTGATGTCGAGTAAATTTGTTTCATCTGTAAATTGTTAGTGTTGTGTTTAATGCAGTTTAAAATACGACCTAGATGAGTGTTCATCTTAAATTTCATCAGTTCCAACATCGATGTCGAAGTGATAATTAATGAAGTGCGTGCTCTTATGTGATAAATTTACATATTATAAGTTGTGTACAAGTGCGTGGTAAAAATAATTAGCTGTTATACATCAATTCATTTAAGGACTATTATAAATTCATTAATAATTAAATGTAAATAAATATATCACGCACTTAAATTTACGTAATATTTTCATTTTTCCAATAAGGCATAATACACGGATTTGGGAGTGACATGAGTACAATCAATGATATTTGAAAAAACGGTTCCCCCATAATTTCCATTACTCGTGCAATTGCACTGTCTTATAATAACAATAATATCCATACCTTTATAGAATTTGTAATTCTATCTTTACCTACATTGATGTCTTTTACGTACTTCTTGTCTTAAACACTTTCTATCAACTTGTTCACCAATTTTCTCACAGTTTTTCTTCCTCTACTTTCTTTCGCTCTATCTTTCTCCTGCTTAGCTTGTCTTCTTTTCGTAACTTGTTCTTTGATTTAATTGTCTAAGTTGTTTTCTTTTCTTCGGCTGTATATCGTTTCACTCAAACACTTTTTAATAATAATTATGTACCTTCAATTACCATTTCTGCCTTAAGATTAAACATTTTCTCTGGTTTCTAAAGATTGTTTTTCAAATACTCTTCTTCCACAATCACGTACTTCAAGATTATTAAGAAACATCCCTTCATCCACCATGTCTCGACACTTATCATATCATCAACTTCTTTAACGATTATGTTCTATGTTATTCCTCTTCTGCGTCCGTGTGGTGCAGTGGAGTAGAAGCTTGACTGCGGTACTGATCAGGGTCCCTGGTTCGAATCCAGGTTCGGTCATGGATAATTACGAGTAGGTATTTGTAAATGTATAGTGGGCTGGATTGATAAAGCAAATGAGGGCAAAAAAAATTCTTTAATTTTTATATCCAGGAATTTTCAATTTCAAACTTTAAAACTGAGTATCGTTCAAAACTAAAATCTCTTGCAAAATCTTTACTCCAGGTTTAATAAATGCAATGTGAGCAACTTCCTTTTGCGATTATGTTGCATCTTTCTATCTTTAGGTTCGTAAACACTCCTTATCTCATTAACATAAGTGCTTAAACTGTGTCTATTGCATTAAACAAAGTCTACCTAATCACTTCCTTTGCACTTGAATAATTTTTTAACATGTGACAGCGTTTTTTTAATAACTGTTATCAGAAGTGTTGATAACAGAATGCCACAAACAAAAAGTACAGAGTTCGCAGATTATTGTTTTCGTTCAGTCGGTAAGTAATAAAAGAGCTCATTTTGTTAATTTTTCAATGTACGGGTACAGTGGATTATTTTTTATTATTGTTACATGGTGTAGGTAGCATGTTTCAACCTTCAAGAATCAGTTTGCTGTGAATTTTCAGTACAAATATAACACAAACGGTATCAAACAATAAAGTAGTTATAAAATATGGCTTAGTATCTTATTAGTCAAGTGTGTAGGTATGTTTTATTGTCCAGGTGTTTGATTTATGCTTTTTATCCTTAAATAAAATCAACGTATGAAAGATGCGAGCATAATTATAGTAGGTTTACATTTTCTGAATAAAATAAAATATGTGATTGGATAGGAAAAATTAACTTTTTGAATTATTGTACAGGGTGGTCCAAATTGGGAACTTTCTTAAGAAACATCCTTTATTTTAACATATAGGAAAAATTGACCTAAGTGTCTGCATCACCTCTTCAATAATTTGATCTTTCTGGCCGACTGCAATGAATTTTATTTTCCGCTCTCTAAAAAGCTTTAACGTGAGATCTACGACGGCTCAAAACGCTTTTAATTTTTCGTATTGTTTTTTTTCTAAGATGCGTCGCTTTTTATATAATATATAATATTTATTTCTGACATTCAGTTGACACTGCTTAGTCTCGTCTGGATATTTAACATGTATATATAGGTAGGTAGGTATATAGGTATATAACAATCAAAACATATGAATAAAATATAAAACAAACAGTATTAACATAAATGAAGGGTTATGGGGCAAACATAAACTCTTCGGCACTGTAATAGCAATTTGCTATAATATATTTTTTTAATGTTCGGTTAAATTCCCGTAATGGTAACTTCTTTATTTCCTTATTTAATTTATTATAGAGCGAGAGATCAAGTGAGTTACTTTTTGACAAACATAACCTGTACACGGGTGGTAAAAGTTGTTCCTTATATCTTGTATTGTGCCGGTGATGCCGCTTATCCGAGATTGGTTTACTGTGAATTACTCGTGCATGTATTTCAAATAGTACTTGATATATATATATATATATATATATATATATATATATATATATATATATATATATATATATATATATATATATATATATATATATATATATACATACATGGTGTTGGCATAACTTTTAATTCTTTAAAATAGGCACGACAATGGTCTCTAGTCCCAAGTACTTTCTCAAGTACCGGATGTGATTAAGCTGTAAAGTAACTTTATTTATCATGAAAGAGAGCTTATAGTACGCGCGTGAGTTATATCAGGCTATTAAAAAAAATTCCGTTGCGCATTTCGCTTTCAACTGCCAGAAATAAAAGAACGATCAATTTTCTTAGAAAATATTGACCTAAAGAGTTTCAAACAACCGAATTTTACAATACCCGTCTCGTATGTTATGTTATCCTTCTAATTTATTTTCTCTATTTATAAGTTCTCCTTTTCTTTGTATTTACTGCAAAGTTCCATTACGTACACAAATTGTATTCAACTTATCTTTGCTTCCGCAACCATTAAGTACTCAATGCGCGTTCTTTAACGTAGATGACTCTTTCCATCTAAACTTGTCAACTTTTTCAATAGTTATCTTCTCAACTTTGTTTTTTGTGATCATCCTCGTATCAAATAATTTCTTATACAATTTCGGTCCACTTGGTTTGTTTCATCTTTAACTTCCTCCACGTATGTTTCCGGCAAAAAATCGCCTAATTGCACGCCCACTGATATCTTCTTTTTTTCATCTTTGGATTATTGTGTTTCGTTTCATTAATCTTCCATTTAACCTCTTTCTCAAATTTGTTATGATTCCTTCTCAATTCTTTTTCTTTCGACAATCATTGCCTACTTTGATAGCGTGCTATTTTTTCTTCTCATGCAATAATATTTCAATTCTTTTATACGTCTTTCGCTATAAAAACCGATGCACGTCATTGATTTATGAATCAATTTCAGACAAGTTTTCTATAGATTTCGCACACTTGTTTTTTTTTGTACATGGTGCAGTGTTGCAGCATATGTCTGAAATTGATACACAAATCAATGACGTGCAACGGTTTCTATAGCGAAAGACGTATACCTTTCGGCCTGCATTTTATAATTTATAGTGTCTTATTATCATAGCACCTAATACTGTGCAAAGTCAAGTTTTTTTATTTATGGTAATATTTGTTGAAATTTTAACCACAAATGCTTATGGTCCTTTGTACACCCTAATAGTCCGTTACATGACCTGATCAATTCATGGAAAATGCGCTCGAAAACCTTTTTTTCATTTTCTCTTTCAGTTAACCTGCATTTAGTTCCTAAGATTAAAACCTTCGCTATGTTCTTTGAGTATTCTTTTTCTCAAGTGCCAGTTTTTTTACAATCGATTGTTCGTATCAATTTCGTGCCATATTATGTTTCCAGCAAATTTCAAAATTTCACTTATTTTTTGCGTTCTGCATTAATTTCCCTATCAGGTCCCATCTACTGTCTACCATTTCTTTTTTCGACACTGCTATCGTACTTTTTGATTATCCAGTTACCTGTGTAGAGTTCACAGCTAGAATATAACAGCCAAAATGCCGAAAACAAACGAACAACCAGTGGCGTCCTTTAACATATAAAACAAATTTGCGTATGCGCTCTCGCATAGCAGTCACTTTCCAGCATCTAAACTAAAACTCATTTTAGAAAATAGGTATCACATTCTAACATTTATTACATTATTCACATTGACAGTAAGTATCACAAAAAAAATTGTCAATCACTTGCGCCCCGTTTGACAGGGTCAATTTTTTGGGGATACTTTATGTCAATGTGAATAAGTAATAAATGTTAGAAAGTGATACTTTTTTCTAAGGGTGCTATATGAATTTTTTTATACCTTTGGGGTAGATTTCACACTGTCAGACGGGGCATAAGTGATTGCTAATTTTTTTTTTGGAGATACCTATTGTCAATGTGGATAGTTTAATAAGTGTTAGTAAGTGATACTTTTTTTCTAAGGGTTCTATATGAATTTTTTTATACTGTTGTGGTAGATCTCACCCTCTCAGACGGGGCATAATTGATTGGCAATTTTTTTGGAGATACTTATTGTCAATGTGAATAACGTAATAAATGTTAGAAAGTGATACCTTATTTCTAAGGGTTCTATATGAATTTTTTATACTTTTGGGGTAGATTTCACCCTGTCAGACGGGGCGTAAGTGATTGCCAATTTTTTTGGAGATACTTATTGTCAATGTGAATAACGTAATAAAGTTAGAAAGTGATACCTTATCTCTAAGGGTGCTATATGCATTTTTTTATACTTTTGGGGTAGATTTCACCCTGTCAGACGGGGCGTAAGTGATTGCTAATTTTTTTGGGGATACTTATTGTGAATGTGAATAATGTAATAAATGTTAGAACGTAATAATAATAATAATAATAATGCATTTATTGAAAACAACTTAATATAATGTTCAATGTTCAAGATAAAAATAAAGAAAAATAAAATCATACATGATGTTCGAAGAGAACAGAGTACTTAAGAACTGCCTCACTTGTTGTTCCCAAATGGAGTGAGTTCAAGCAACTACTAAGTAGCAGCTTGGTCTTCCACTCAACCCAGTTTGATTACTAAATAACATTAATTATGGCATTACGAGTGAAAAATAATATTTTTAACGGGACAAATAAATTATAATAAAAACAGAAGCTTATCAAGATTAATTTTTATTTAAGAGGTGTATTGATTAAGTAGATATAGTTTATGTAGTTGAATTTTGAAATGTTGTATAGGAAGTTCTTTAATTTCAGGAGGTATTGAATTATAAACGTTAGACGCGTTATAACTAAATGATCTTTCATACAAGGAGGTTTTATGAAGCGGTGTTATAACTAAATTTTTATGTCTCAAGAAAAAATCACGTATGTTATGCCGAAATCGAAGCTTATTGAAAAGATACTGTGGTGTTTGGCGAGTAATGACTTTATGATATAAGCAAGCCGAATGCAGCATTCTTCTATTTGTCATATTCAGCCATCCTATTTCATTCAGTTTGCCACCAATAGAATTAAATTTTCGAATACCAAATATTAACCTTAGACACGAGTTTTGGATGCGTTGTATTCGTCTGCAGTCGACGGAAGTTAAACGTAATACCTTTTTTCTAAAATGAGTTTTAGTTTAGCGTTTTTCCTTAACGCGGAAGTGAAGGTTTTGCAGCAGTCCACAGCACCCAACTTGAAAATTTTAAATGGGCCACCCTGTATTCTATTTGATTTTTTTGTAAAACTTCTAAGATAAATCTATTGAAGATCTATATTATGTATTCATAAAGGCTAAATTTTAAATAAAGTCAAGGTTTGATCCAAACCTGAGATAAAGAGAAAGAAAAACCTGATACTTCAATTTTTTTCTGGAAAGCGTATAGTGAGATTGAAGATCTATGGTGGAGCTCCACTACACACTATCCTGGTTGGCGCGACAAATCTGTTCACTTCATTTATGCTAGTTAGCATCCGTTTCACTTTTGGAATGTACCAAGCAAAATTTTTCGATGACGCTTGGTGTATAGCAGTGGTTCTAAATATAATTTTTTTAAATACATTCTGAAAACGTCTACTGGTACAGTAATTGTAATAATTTTAATTATTACACATAATATTGGATAAGGCAAATAAATCTAGTTCAGAAGACGCGCTTCTTTGTAAATAATTGTAACAATATTTGTTTTTAATTCGGATGGAGTCGCGACTCACCCGTTGGGAACCACTGGTGTAAAGTAATTAGTACTGGAAAAAACAAACATATCAATCGCTCACTGACCTTGACATCGCGATCTGCTTATTTACAAAATATTGGGCACCAATGTCAAACGTTTTGGATTTTTTTCCTTATTAAATCGATACATAAATAATGGTTTTGATGTCTCATCTTAAAAGTACATCTAAACCTTAAAGAGGGGTGGTGTTGTTTCTTATGGGTACAAAAGAACCTCTCTAATAGCGGTGCGGTTTTCCCTAGCTTAGTTTTGCAAATTATGTGCAAACTAATAAAGTACGTTATAGGTATTTACTTTGGAGTTATAGATTATTGTGGGTCAATTGGTTCGGGAAAACTTCTTAGGGGTGAGTTGTTGTTCGGGAAATTAATCACTTATAAAACCAGAAACGCTTATTGCCAATGGCGTCGTGCAAGCGTAGACTACCACAGAAGTTTATATTTTGGTACCTACTTTAACCTCGATTTCAAAAGCGCAAGAATTTATACATGGTCCTGATTCCGAAAATTATTACAGGATATTGCGAGTTTGTGTTTATTTTATTGCTGCGAAAATCTATTTGGTAATGCATTTACCTCCAGCAAAGTGGTTTACCTTGACTTTACATTTAAGATCGTTTTCACAACTCGGGATGTTTCAGATCTTGTTAAACAAGTCCATGACCATCATTGGTGGTAACTGGCTGGTCGGAATTTTAAGTTGACCGCACAAATTACTCGTATTTAGATCAGTTGCATTCGTCCTCACAGTTGAGAACCCGCTAAGGTAATTTCTGGTACTTAATTAAAACTTAGTAACTAATCAAATTTAAGTTACGTGAACGTGATGTGTTAAAATTCCTTCTTTGTAGCCATGACGGAAACGTACAATAAAATCGAGGAGAAAATACGGAGATTTGTCGATAAGTCGTTCAAAAACCGTTTGGAAAATTACACCCTGGAACTATCGCGAGGGGCAGAAGATGGAGTGAATTGGTTAGGTACAATGCATAGGGTTGCAATTAAAGGATCCAAAGAAAGCGGCGAGAAGGTTCAGTTTAATCTAATCGTGAAATTCGCACCTTGCCAGCCACTTTTTCGAGGAGTACTCCCCATTAGAAACGTTTACGATCGTGAGATTTACGTGTACAACAAAATTATACCCGAATACCTTAAAATTCAAGAGGAGAAGGGAGTGGAAGACATGTTTAATCCTTTCGCGGTAAGTTACGCGAGTACAATGGACGACGGCGTAGAGGCACTTCTAATGGAGGACATGAAGGTGAGGGGCTTTCACAACTGTGACCATCAAATGGGGGTGAACTACAATCACGCGTCTATTATCATGAGGTCTCTTGGCAAGTTCCACGCGTTATCCTACGCTGTGAAGAATGAAAAACCTGAAATCTTCGCCGACTGGAGAGACGCGTGCCCAGAGTCATTCTTCAACAGCACTTTGTACGAGCCCATCATTAGTATGGTGCAAAGCCTGAGCGCGGCAATTCTGAAAACGTACGGAGACGATGAGGCTAAAACTCGGGACATATTTCGACGTTCGACCAAGAACATTCCCGCAATTTTTAAAGGTCTGCTAGATCTGGATCAATTCGGAAAGTACCTCTCTATCAGTTACGGCGATTACCAATTCAGAAACTTCCTCTTCAAGTACGAGGTAAGTATACGATATCGTTTGGCGTTTGACAAATTCGACCTGCTTTAGAATTCTGCGGACCCACACCAACCAACAGACATATGCATGCTCGATTTCCAATGCCTCAAATTGGGAACGCCGGCGTACGACATCTCCTACTTTATCGGCACATGCACCGACGGTGAGCTGAGACAGGCTCACTACCACCAACTGATACGCGAGTACTACGAATCGTTTTCGTCGTTCTTATCGCGTCTTGGAAGCGATCCCGAAGTTGTGTTTCCGTACGACGTTCTCTTGGATCACTTGAGACGATTTTCAGTATTCGGGATGTACATCGGCATCTGGCTTGTCGCGCTTGACCAGAAACCAACCGACAATCTCCCGGATCTGCACAACTCCGCCGATATGGAGTCGTTGGTGCACAATCTTTCGGTCGTTCCCAATGAGACTTACATACGGCGAATGCGCGATTTAATTTCTGATTATATTCAGTATGGTTATAACTTGTAAATTTTGATCGTGGATGAGTGGTCTAACTGAAAACCTACCTCATGAAACCAATCGTGCAGTTATTATTAATCGGTTTGAAGGTCTGTGAGGAATACATGACCCATAATGTTAGTGAATGTCGACGGGAATTGTATTGAATTACAGACCTTCACTCATTTTCAAAAGGGCTTTAGGGTTTACTCAGAGAAGTTTAATGTTAACTTTTTAGTAATACCATAACATTATGTGTTTGTTTCATTGAGCCTCTGTAAAATGCTTCATCTAATCATCTAACCGTGTGGTGCTTATTATGGGGTAAGATGTAGGATAGCATGACTACAAAAATTAATAAAAAATACTGAAGTTATACATTTGTTGCTAGTAAGTTAAACTGCGCACAAATAATCTAGCAAATCGTTAAGTTTGTCCAAACAGTACACAGAGCCCAAACAGTGAGATCATCCTTAACGTGAATCGTATTTTCGTATCAATCCCTACCATATATAATAAATTAAACAAATATAGCAAACGAGCTCTTGGGTATGGCTATAGCATGTGCAAAACTAAATTTTAAACCTGATGTTAGTTTTGCTTTTATTTAAAGTGTATATGTTTGAAATTTCATTTAATTGCTTCCATGAATAAGGAATTTGGCACTGCGTATGCGCAAAACAAAATTTTGAAACTGGCGATAACTTTGGTTTTATTCCAAGTGGCTATGTATCAAATTTCATTTAAATACCTTCATAAATAAGAAGGTTTGCAATTCAGCCTGTAAATGGTCGAGATGCGCAAAGGGCATTGTGAATGCTAATCGATTAGGCTCAACTTTTGGAATTGTGTTTTATATGGTTAAAGCTATGCGCATATTGAATTTCATGCAATTCGGTTCATTACTAACGGAGATGTCAAAAGGACCTACTTTATTTTTTGGTTTACATTGCCAATTCACGAACTCCGATCTACAAATTTAATAAAGAATCCACCTGCAAAATTTCATCGTAATCGGTCCATTCGTTTATCGTGCTAACCGACGGACGGACAGACGGACAGACACCGCAAAATTATAAATTCGCTAGGAGTTCGTTAATAACAAAGGGAACACCATAAGCCCAATGAATCTCCTGTAATTTTACCTATTTACACATTTTTGAGAAACCTATATAAATAATAATTTGCTGTAAGTAACACAGATACCACCCGCACACATTCGTATTCATTATGTCAAACAAAATGTGTACAAAATTTGGTTCCAATCGATTCAGCCGTTTAGCTGGAAATTAGAGTACAGCGACGGACAGACAGACAAACCGACAGACCAATCGACATCATCGAGATTTTGTTTGATTCGGATTGCTGGTGCTTCAAAACGTGTATTTCCGTAAAAAAAAAGTGGAGGGGGTCATTTTTACCGTAATGCAATACCTCCCTCTTACTGACGTGCGGGTGGTACAAATGGTTCCCGAAATGTACGCGAATAACTTCAGAACAACTCCACCAAATATGATAATTCTTTTTTTGTTGTGTTTGTTAGCGTATTTTCCTCAAAGTGAAAAATTGTTATTGGCTGCACTTTGTCGTTCGTCCGTCCGTCTGTCACACGTACTCCTTCTACACGCCTGAACCGATTTGGGTGATATCGGGCTCATTTGAAAGGGCTTGGTCTAAGGATTGCGACCGATATTCTTTGGTTTTGTGCATGCGCAGTGTCAACAATTTGGTTTACCCATGTGCAATGCTAACTTGTTTATTTATGAAGATATTAAAATGAAACTATATTACGAATATAAGTAAAATTAACGACGTTTTCAAAATATTCCTTTGCGAATGCGCAATGCCAATTTTCTTATTTATGAAAGCATTTAAATGAAATTGTATACTTAGGCACTTGGAAGTTAGCCCGAAAAATAGGGTACCCTTGCATAAATTTCCAAGAAGCTGAAAATTCACATGAACGTTAGGGATAATGAAACTGTGAAAAGTCCCCATCGATCCCATATGTGCTAAAAATTTTATTCAAGGTTCGCAAAAATGGGTTTTCTGGATTTTTTAGCGAAACGGTTAGTTTTATGATAAAAATAGTTCAAACAAAAATTGTAGATAATGCAATTATATACAAGAAATGTCCTTACACTTTTCTACTAAGGTTCAGTACTTCTGAGAAAAAGCGATTCCAAAATTTACTAAAGTTGTATTCTCTATGTTATGACCACATTTCCACCTGTGAGTTGTGTACTTGACGCGTTTTTTTAACGTGGTGTCCCCAGTAAGCCTACTTCACGGTCCATTTTATTTAGTCCTAGTAGAATAATCGGTCTTCTCTCATTCAATTTATTCTACTTTTTCGGACAGTCTTTCTCCATAAACTTCTTCTTGTTTTCTTCGTCTTCTTCTTGTCGACGTAAATTGTTCAAACAGTAATACATCAGGTGTTTCGTCGTCGATGTAAAAATCTTCTTCTGTTGAAGATTCAAAATTTCGGCACGATTGGCCTTAACAACTGGTGCATGCTGGTTAACAAATAAACCTACCTTTTTGCAGCCGCATTTCGAATTACACCCCTTTTTACCGTTGCAAAAATAGTATTAAAGAGCTTCTCTTATACAGGTGGAAGTAGAGTGTGGATTGTTTTCAAAACATTATCAATTAACTTCCTACCCCATTTGTCTGGGTCCAGTTGATTACTGAGCCATACTTGAACTTGGTAATATACTCGATAAAAATGTTGTTGAGCAGAAGTCGAGGTTGGAGGAAGACAAGCTAATTGCACACATCGTTTACTACGAGTAAGTTTTGCAAAAGATGAGTAACGTAACTTGTTTATGCAACTAACTTTTTTTGGAGCTCCATATACCGAAAGAAGAAAACGAATTTCTTGGGTAATTATAGTTTCTGGAGCAGAACCGATATCTTCAAAATCTTTAGCAGATGTAACTAGGTCCCATAAACTCTTTTGCAAGTGACACCGTGAAAATATTGTATCCATAGTTTAGCCGTAGGTCCTCGTTCTTCATATTCTCTCAGCTTTCGATTAAACTGATGAAGTAATGCTCCAGATGTTTCATAAGACGGGCACTTATCATTCAATATTAATGTATTAGTCACGCAGACTAATAGTTTGAGTGATATTATTCGTCCAATGATGTGCATATGGGCAGCATAGCCGCGCATGTTATGGGGAATACAACTTTATTCAATTTTAGAATCGCTTTTCTCAGAAATACTGAAGCTTAGGGGAAAAAGTGTAAGAACAATTTTTGTAGATAATTGCATGATCTACAATTTTTGTCTGACCTATTTCTATCATAAAACTAACCGTTCCTCTACAAAAACAAAAAAAAAACCATTTTTGCGAACTTTGACCTTGAATAATTTTTTTTGCACGCACGGGATCGATGGGGAGTTTTCACAATGTCATTATAATGATATGTCAACTTTCTTATTTTTTATATTTGTATACGCTCACTATTTTCCAATAAACTGTATAGACTTCGACGATAGGGGGCTCATTTGAAAGAGAATGGGGTAAGGATCTCGGCCTACCGGTATTTTTTGCCGATCCTAGCTTTAATATTGTTACGAGGACATTTTAGAGTCGAAAAAAGATTTGACTTTTTAAAACGTAGGTTTCTTTGAAACCGTTAAGTTGTTTTCCGAAAGAGACTTCCCGAATTTCCCACGGGAACGGAGTAGGGGAAAAAGCGGGATTTCCCAATGGCGGTACGAAGTTCGCCGGGACTGCTAATACTTGATAAAATAAAACGTATGTATGGTTTCGCTATATTTCAAGACACTTTCCGAGAGTCAATTTAATGATTTCATGAAGAATTTTTTTGAAGATCTGCATTGACCTTTCATTCTAAAATGTCGAGTAGATAACTCAAAAACCATAGGAGTACAAGATGTCTACCATTTACAAAAAAAATGGCACACATTGCCGTAAAATGGAGATGTGAGTAAGTCCCTCACCCCAAAAAGTTTGTCTTCTTGTTTCGTTCCTTGAAAATCTGTCCCCGGGGAAGATTTTTTAGAAAGCGCGCATTCTAGGGATAGTAACTGAGAACGAATAATCATGGAGCGAATTTACTTAAAATACCGGGGGCGAATTTTATTTAAGAGGCCAGTGGCGCGGGTAGGCTTTGTGGCTCAAGCAATCAAGGCAAAATTACAGAAACGCAGGGATTCTTATTACCGAATGAATTAGAGGTAAAATTTACCAGGTCGAAGTGTTCAGGGCTAACCGTCACATTTTCTAAACTTAAGCCTATGCCAAAAGTAAAAAATCACCCGCCTTTATTTCTCCCCTATACACTGGCCTACGAAATACTCACCTCTAAAAAGGTTCCTCCTAGAAAATTCACGCTCTTGGGTTCACCTTTGGAATATTTTTTCAAATAAAATTAGCAGTTTCCTCGTGAGTGCATTGGCTCTCAAGGGCACTGCAACGTTTTACATTCGTCTTAATAGACAATACTCGGCTATAAGGGTTTGTTGCAAAAGCAGAATAGAGTTCGCTTGAATGATGGTTTTTTGAGGGTGTGTATTCAGGCTGACTTAAATTTTCTTCCTCAACGTTTCTTCTTGCATGCAAATTGAAAATTTGTTGGGAGAATTTACCTGAAGATGGTTCTTAGGGCGGTGGGAGGGGGAGTAGTCATTTTGTACATTGGCTTTAAAAAAAAGTACACTGCAGTATTTTACATTGGTTTTAATAGCCAGTACTCAACCATTAGGGTTTGTCGCAGAAGAAGAATAGAATAGGAGTAGAAGAGTAGCATAGGGTTTTCTCGAAATTTCTTTGAGGAAATTTTCTAGAGGGCGTGTAATCAGGCTGATACATATTTTCTTCCACAACGTGTCTTCTTGTAGGCAAATCGAAAATTTGTTAGGCGAATTTACCTGAAGACGGATTTTCCGGGTGGAAGGCGCGGGAGTAGCCCTGCTGTAGAATGCCAATGAAATGTTATTTATAAATCGTAGTCATATTCCACAAAGTCTGAAATGGCGTCTCGAATTTTTTTGACATAGGCTTCATTTGGGACTTTTCGATTTGCTTCTCGCTCAGATTAAAAATATCATCAGGAATATCCTGCGACTTGATCTGATCATGTTTAAGGAGGCGGCCCACATGATTTTGTGAAGAACTACCTTTTCAAACTGTTTAGTTGACTTAATACAGCCGCATTAAAGATTTCGGGTCACTCCCACGCTCGATAAGTAGAGACGTGAGGCTTGGGTAGTAGTCGCGTAGGAGATTCGTGTAGTGCAGTTTTCTAAAGTTGCCACTCGTGCACAGAAACATAATATACGCAAAGTTGAATGCAGTGGAGCCAACACGGGCAGTTTGCCAATGGATTATGCGGACTTCAGTCGGGGCGTCTGCTTGTGAGGAGTGAAACATCAAGTTTTTTGCTACTTGCCACGTAGTTTGCCGTATCTGAAGGTCTTTGTGGGTAATCGACGAATATCGGGCGAAGATTCGATAATTCTGTAAGCTTTTGAGGAAGAGTGGGTGCATTTTCAAAACTGGTTCTCAACTTTCATTTCTTTAATTGTGAGCTGATTATATATCTGAAGTGGCGGACATAATTGGCGCAAAACTTACTTTTGATAAATTACTTTTGGTTGGTACAAAGTTGATGCTTTGCTAGTATTTTTGCTTTGTTGTGTGAGATACTTACCTATGTGATTTTTTTGATTAAGTAAACATGAACTGCTCACGGACACATCATAATGAGATCATAACGTATGCCAAAGTGATCTTTCATATCATAATAATGGTGCACATTATAAAAAATTGTTACATTAACGATTATATAATTATCTGGAGGCCACCAAGGCAGGTGATTTATAAGTACTTTGCATTATTAGTGTAGGTAGTAAAAAATTTCAAGAGGAAAGCATTACACGGGTACCTTGTTTACCATGTATAATATTTTATTTTTTACTCATAAAAAATGTTAGATATAAATTAGTTACGAAAATGCGATAAACACGTATTAGTATCATTGAAATTACCAAACTATGCTGCTATCCATTTGGATGTGCAAATCCAGAAAACAGGAATTTAAAATTTCTACGGTTTAAAGCTCAATTAGAGGGTATTAGAAAACAATCGAGCAATATGAACACAAATTTAAAGTAGTTCTCCCACAGGGAAAATAACTATGTACCGGCGAATACATAAATACATGGCCAAAATACGGTCCCGACTGGCTAGTTTTATACTAACTACCTTCTAATAAGCTAAGCAGTCTTCTAAAATTCCGAAAATAATTTCTAAAACAATTTTTAAAATTTCACAGGAGTTCACTAAAGACGTTTGAACAAGTATTCTTTTAAAGGGAGCGATTTGAATATTTAAACAAGTTGTAAATCGGCATATGCATTATGAAAGCGCATTTTTGGTAATACAGATCAGTATTTCATTACCAAAGTTTAAAATTATCGATCTCACGAGTAATCTAACTCAAAATAGACTAGAGCTTGCACATCTACACTATAATAGAAAGCTTTTAGTGAAAATTTGAAGTGTACCTATTGTAATTGCTGAGACCTCAATCTGACAGCTAGCCAGCCATAACGAATATAATAGTGTCTTTTTTTTAAAATCCACTAGTAATTTAAGTTGTTATACTGGTAGCGCTATCTAACGGTAAAATAATAGCACCTCCGAAAACCATATCGAAATTATTTTCTCAAATTATCGATGTCACAAGTAACCTAACTCAAAATAAACTAGAGCTTGCACTTCTACACTACATCAGAACGCTTTTGGTGAAAATTTGAAGTCTCTAGCTATTGTAATTGCTGAGATTTCAGCCGGACAGCCATAACGATTTTTTTCCAAAAAGTTTGTGAAAAATCTTCTACAAAAACTTCTCAGATGAAGTTTTCTAAGATTGTTTAGAAATCATTCAGGACTACTTTAAGTACGGAATAACTAAGTGGAATTTCGATTCCAAATTCCAGGGAGAATTTATTCATGAGGTGAAAATCCCTCGGAATATTCCTACTCGCAACATTCATTCCTTCATGAATATTCCCCATAAAGGAATTAACCCCAAAATTCGATCGGTCAATTCGATTCCTCATATTCGCTTCCGAAGTTTTACGCTGCTAGGCGCGCAAAATGATCCGTGTGGGTTTTTGTGATGGATATATACCCCGGAATCGAAACAAATCCCAAGTTATTTATGCCGGAGGGAAGTTCCGTCGCCAACTTTACAGGTGCATGTATTTGCAATGAGTTGTCTTCTTCTAGTCCATTAATCATCCAATAATTCCTTCAGACAATTTTTGGAGTGGGGATCTTTTGGGGCGAAATGTCAGGAAACTTGCTTTCAAAAAACCCGCTTCTTGAGAAATTTCGATAGCGTACTGTGCACCAGATCTGCCTGGGCGATTATATTATATATTATACGGGGAAGATTATTGGGAGACGTGTCCCCATGAATGAATTCAATTTCTTCAATATAATAATATAATATAATATAATATAATATAATATAATATAATATAATATAATAATAATATAATATAATATAATAGATAGATATAAGATAACATAATATAATATAAATAAATTCTGAAAATTATACCTTACGTTACCAAAAATCAAGAGTCTCGCTCTACTAGTAATATGCTTCTATAACAGGTACGGTACCCAAGCGGCCAACCTCTTCCAAGATGGAAAAGATATTAAATAGGTACTATTGTCAACAAATTACTTGAATGTGATAGCAATAAACCCAGAAGGGGCAAAATAGTTATTAACTAATGCGTCAAAGGGTTACGGAAGTTGCCTCTAGTAGTATTGTATAGCCGATTCAAAATAAATGTCAAAATCAATGTAGGTAAAGCGTGTCCGAAACTTAATCTGGTCCTTACAGTAGAATTAATTTTAATTTGAACATTTGAACATTAAAACTAAAAATTGAAACCCTAAAAGAAATCAAAGGTAACCCCTCTACCCTCTCGTTGATACTTTGATAGAAAAGATAGAAAAATTGTAACACAGATGACAGCCGAACCTAAGAAAAAGGTACACTTCAATTACGGAAAATGCAAATGGTGGTACTTACGATAAGCCAGAAAAAATGCAAATATATACTCCCTATTGGCGTTTTTAGGTGAATCCGTTCACTAATTATTTCAGAATCCCCAATTTAATGAATCAAATTGCCAGAGATTAATAAAATATGGATGATGGCAATTAAAATTCCATGCGTTCTCAACTGACGCCTCAGCTGTTGAATGACAAATGAACATTGACAATCTGCAACCACTGCGTGATAGGGCATACCCGAAAAACCATTCAAAAACGTGCGACTCATATTTGTAACTCTTATGGCTGCTGAGAAAATATTAAAAAAGAAATCCAAATTTCACTTCTTTGGGGGTGACTCCCAACGAAACATGTTGGAGCCTCGATTTATTTGGAAAAAGTGCTTGTCTTAATCGCCTCTATCACCCGATTTTTTTACGTATGGTCTTGTAACACTCTGTATATATATAATAAATTATATATATTATGCAGGGTGTTTCATAATTGAATGCCAATATTTAAGGGGTCGATTTTTGGGTCCATTTTAGAAAGAAAACTTCATATGAATCCAGGTATGAACCTATGTCCTAAACGTCTTAACTTTTGAGATACAGAGGGTGGTAAAGTTTTCAAAAATAAATCATTTATTATTAATATCTGTAATACCACTTTAGATATTTAATGAAATTTGGCATGTATGTACTATGTATCCAGAGGCATTTTTTAACGTATCACATTTTTTAATTTCCACCAGTGGCGTTCGTACGGAGTTTCACATGCCGATTTTGGCAGACACTGATTTCACTGAAAATAGAAATTATTCTTGAAATCCCCAATCATTTCTAAGCAAATTTGATCCCTTTGTTTTTTCAATCCGATGCACGGTTTTGGCTTAAAAAAATAAAAACCGTTTCTCTGCATGATCATGGCATATGACATCACCGTGCAGAGAAAAAAATATTTTCTTTTTCTATGTGAAAACCGTGTGCCCGATTGAAAAAAAACAAATGATTAAATCTGTTCATAAATGAATTTTTTCTCTGCACGGTGCACGGTGAAATTAAAAAAATGTGGTACGTTAAAAAATGCCTCTGAATACATAGTACATGCATGCCAAATTTCATTAAATATCTAGAGTGGTATTCCAGATATTAATAATAAATGATTTATTTTTGAAAATTTTACCACCCTGTATAGGACATAGGTTCATACGAAATTTTCTTTTTAAAATGGACCCAAAAATTGCCCCCTTAAATATTGACATTCAATTATGAAACAAGATGTATATAAATAATACTTATAGGGGAAGGGTTTGACAAGTTTTCCGTATCTGTGGGAGGAATATCATGATAGGTAATACATTTTGGGTTCAGGTAATGATTCGAGTCATTAGTTTACAGAAAGCCAGCACTTCAGGACTGAATTTTCTGACAGAAAGTTAGATGGCCGAGAAAAGGGGCGAGCATTTCTGGGTTTATTTTTGAGAGGAGGGCAGAATGCTTTAGTTGTGAATTTTCCTGACCGCAGACTATCCTTTTAGGGGGAGCGCGAGTTTCCCAAGGCTAATCTCTGAAAGGTAATGTGGCACTTATAGAAGGTAGTGGTTTTCTTTGTCGCTAATGTTTTGGAGCGGATGTGGTTTGCTATTTTTGTAAACTGATAAGTGACAAACGTCCAAAGGTGAGGCGAGGTACTTCAGGAATGTTCAAACTTTCGTTCCAAGTGTGTTTGATTTCAGATCCTATTAAGGAAGTCATTCCAAGCTCAGATAACATTAGTGAGGCAATATTTTGCTTAATTCTTGAACACCTAATACCTCTCCAACCACTTCTAGCGCTCCATGGTGCTTGTCTGTGATCCATTATTTTAATGCTATAATCCAAGACAATTTGGTGAAAGGTGATGTTTTTCACAAACGCGTTCGTTCGTAAAATCGAATTTGGAACACTTTAGGAGTTATTTCGTTTGCACGAACTTTTCCTGATTATTTGGATACATATCCAAATTCACGGTTCCATGTTTATCAGCATAGTTTAGTAATTTCGTTGAGATTAATCTGCTTTTATCGCATTTTCGTAACTAATTCATGTATTATGAGTGAAAAATAGAACACTATGCATTATAAACAAGGACTGGTGTAATGTTTTTCTATTACACCTTTTACTATATACTAATAATATAAAGTATTATAAATAACCAACCCTCGGTGGATTCTAGATAATTACATAATCGATAGTGATCTAAAAATTTTTTGTAATATCCACTATAATTATTATGGTATCAAAGGTCACTTTGGCATATAATATCTCTCTCATAATAACGTGTCCGTGAGCAATTCTCATGTTTACTAATCAGAAAAATAACACACGTTCTATTGCAACCAAGTAATAGCAAAGCAATTTTGTACCAACCAAAAGTAATGTATCAAAACGTAAGTATTGTTCCAATTATGTTACGCTGACCACATTTTAGAATGTCTGCCACTACAGATAATCAGCTCACAATCAAAGAAAAGTTGCTTCCCCTAGTAAAACAATTTTTGAAAGATGCTCTTGAAGGCTGTACCGTTGAGATGTCTTGCGCAACAAAACCAGGTCAGAACTGGTTGGGATTAGTTCAAAATTTAAAAGTTCAGGGCGATGGGAAAGCGGAAATAAACCTAGTTGCAAAACTGGCACCGTACCAGCGGGCCTATCGGAATATGCTTCCAATTAGGAACATTTACGAACGCGAAGTGTTTTTTTACGAGAAAGTCGTTCCCGAATTTCTGAAGTTACAGGAGAAGAAAGCATTATCAAGTGGTCTCGGGCCCTTTATAAAGGTCCACCTAACATCGCTGGAGATGTTTCGCGAGGCTCTGATAATGGAGAACATGAAACTGAAAGGTTTTCGGGATAGGGACTATCGTATCGACGTAGATTACGCACACGCTTCCTTAGTGATGAAGGAAATGGGAAAGCTCCACGCTTTATCATTTGCAATTAAAGATCAAACACCAGACGTGTATCGATACATTGAAGAAAATCTTCGAGAGTCATTTTTTAACAGTAATTCGTTCAACCGCATGGTGTCAATGGTACAAATCTCTGTAGAAGTAATTAGTAAGGACTACGAATCTACGCATGATAGAGCTCTTTGCCTAAAATTGAGAACTAGTTTTGAAAAGGTACCCGACTTCCTCAAAAGTTTACAGAATTCTCGAATCTTCGGTCGATACTCGGCGATTACCCACGGCGATCTTCAGATACGAAATGTCATGTTTAAGTATGAGGTGACTGAAGGCAAACTACCTGACAAGTGGTTAAAAAGTTAATGTTTCAGAACCCTTCGCAAGTGGACGTCCCGACTGAAGTCTGCATAATCGATTGGCAAACTGCCTGTATTGGCTCAATTGCATTCGACATTGCGTACTTCATGTTTTTGTGCACGAGTGGCAGCTTTAGAAAACTGCACTACACGAATCTCCTACGCGACTACTACCAAAGCCTCACGTCTCTACTTATCGGGCTTGGGAGTGATCCCGAAGCCTTAATACCATATTCGGCTGTATTAAGTGAGTTAAGACAATTTGCAAAGTTAGCCCTTTACAAAATGGTGTGGATTGCCTCCTTAAACATGATCAAGGCGCAGGATATTCCTGATATTTTTAATCTGGACGAGGAACAAATCGAAAAGCATCTATCTAGTGTTCCAAATGAAGCTTACGTTAAGAAAATTCGAGACATTATTTCAGACTTTGTAGAATATGGCTACGACTTTTAATATGATCAGGATACAAGTGGTATAAGTGACACAAATATAAAATACTGCAAATGGACGCCATGTTGCTTGTACCCGGAGATCTGCAAGAGCTATGTAGCAAAAGCAATAAATCGCAGTTTTTATTCATTTGAATTCTACACCATTTCCTCGCCCTCCGTCCAGAAGAACCATCTTCAGGTAGATTCTACCAACAAATTTTCTATTTGCCTGCCAGCAAACACGTTGTGGAAGGAAACTTGAATTGGCCTGAATACACGCCCTCTAAAAAATCTCCTGAAGGAAATTTCATGGAAACGCGAGCTCTACTCTTCTTCTGTCTATTAATTTTTATTAATTATTAATTATCGATTGTAAAATGCTGCAGTGTACTTGGCTTGAGAGCCGTGATATGATTGCCGAGACCGCCAGTTTTACATGCTCTCCGAAGCAAGGTAGTCAGATGTTCTGTACCACTAAAAACTGGCAAGTTGTGGAATTTGAACTCACAACCTGTAACGTTAGAGTCCGAGTCTTAAAAAACACATTCCGGTTAATTATCTACTAGTACGTCCTATTTTTACGGGTCATTTTCGCACAATTACTTTTTATTCTGCCTGGTAGTTTTTACTTAGTTAACCCTTAAAACAAGCGTCAGCTGGCGCGACTGCGTGGCGTGATGGTATGAGAGGCTAAGAAACACGCAAAAAAAAATTGTTTTTCGGACCATTTTCGCAAAGCTGAAAATGGTATATATAATAGTGTACAATGTAAAAAGAGCATAAATAACTGTCAGCTGATATTTAAATGTGGCAAAACCTGTTAGCTGGGCGTCCAAAGTGTAGCGTAGCGTTAGCGGGCGCTAGCGCGCGCGGCGACTTTGAATTTTGATGACCCAGCTAACACATTTTTCCACGTTGTCGTGTCAGCTAACAAGTGGTTTCCTTTTTTTTGTGCCATAAACTGATGAGGTACTCATTTTCATGCATGCTGATGTCATATTATTGGAGAAAAATATGAGTGAAAGAGAATACATGAGTAAAATGGTATCACATACTGTATAATAATATCATACATAAATTGAAACATTGTATTTTATAATTTGTAACGTGGTTAAGGACATAGAATAAATCAAAAGAGACAAAACAAACTAAAAAAAGGAAACTAATAGCCCTAACCACGGTTGCAGCTGCTTACGGAGAGATTATGGTACGTTTGTGTAAGATTATTTTAGGCGCTACTAACTTTTATTTTCCTGTTAGGACAAAACGCAACCAATAACACATTTCTTAGACAATTCTTAAAAAAATGCGTTACAAGAAAACAGACCGGGTCTGCGGAAGTGTGACTGAGACGGACTTATGCGTCAGCGTGCGTGTTAATAAAGGAAGGCGTCGCGTCGGTTGGTGTTGCCAGGAGCTGAGACGCTCGCGTTACGTTTTTAATAAATATTCAACCTCTTATATTTCTTAAACCGTTGGTCTGATTGAAAAAATGTTTTATTAAAAAAAACTATCTTGATTCATTCGACATATTTTGTATCGCACATGCATTATACCTCTATCTGCACTCATAACGAAAATACCTCGCGACTGCGATTTTTATTACAATTCTTGACCATATAGAGTTTACAGAGTGGTTGTTCAAGACAGCATCGACTTTCTTTTTGTTCTGTGAGACAGTATGAGCATGAGCAATGAGCTTTCGAACGGTACCCACATTCTTGAAAAATATTCATAAATAACTTCGGAAATGCGATGTACCTAAATGTTAAATTTCTAACTTTTCAGAAGTGTGAAATTTTTCACACACTATTTTTCTGGTTGTTTGCAATTCCTGCGACCATCGCGCTCTCGGATTCACAATCGACACCTGATTCTGGACGAGATACGTATATTTACAAATGTATATCTTCGAGTGCAAATGCAACTATTTTAGAAGCATCTGTTATACCCAGGTGACTTGACTGACACATCGGTGCGGTTCGGCTTGGTCCGCTTGGCTTGTAACTGAAGCTATTAGTTTCCTTTTTTTGGTTTGTTTTGTCTATTTTGATTTATTATATGTCCTGAACGCACGTTACAAATTATAAAATACAATGTTTCATGTATAATATTATTATACAGTATGCGATACCATTTTACTCATGTATTCTCTTTCAATCATATTTTTCTCCAATAATATGACATCAGCATGCATGGAAATGAGTACCTCATCAGTTTATGGTACAAAAAAAAGGAAACCACTTGTTAGCTGACACGACAACGTGGAAAAATGTGTTAGCTGGGTCATCAAAATTTAAAGTCGCCGCGCGCGCTAGCGCGCGCTGACGCTACGCTACACTTTGGACGCCCAGCTAACAGGTTTTGCCACATTTAAATATCAGCTGACAGTTATTTATGCTCTTTTTACATTGTACACTATTATATATACCATTTTCAGCTTTGCGAAAATGGTCCGAAAAACAATTTTTTTTACGTCTTTCGCAGTCTCTCGCCATCTTAAGCCACGCTTTTGAACCAGCTGACGCCCCTATCGTTGATAGGTTATGGATCAAAAATCTATAGTAGAAAGATGAACTTTGCGAAAATGGTCCGGTCAAATAGGACGCTACCTCCCGTACTATACGAAAAACTCACCCTTAGACAAATATGCAACCACCTAAGCTATCCCTCTTACTCGCAGGATTAATTCCTTCATGAATATTCCCCATAGAGGAATTCACCACAAAATTCGATCGGTAAATCCACTCCCTCATGTGCCATTCGGAATTTTTACGCTGCTAGTCGCACAAAATGACCCGTCCCGGGATAATTCGGCGCATTATTCTTTAAGAAAATGCCTCCACAAAAATCACTGCACAAAAATTTGTGAAAGAAAATTTACCCTTGGAATACCTCAATTCACAATTTTTTGCGAAGACCGAGCGGAGAAAGGGGTGGGGTGTAAATTTGACCACGAAACTTCTCCTCTAAAAGAACCTTTACCGCCGTGTAAACTCACACCGGTAACTTCAGATTCTAAAACTTTTCTTGTATTACCTCCAAAGGAATTAGGATTATTCTGAGTTTTCCCGGAATAGGGATTTCCATAGTTTAATATTTTTTTTTCACGGATGACATGATTATTAACCTTTTTTCCACTTGTAAAGTAGGCTTTCTCGGCATTTGTTCAAAGTGGTTAATAATTTTTTATTATTAACTAGTAGTCAATAATGAGAACTGTCACGCTGTCACTTTTAGAAAACACAACCCGAAATTTCGCTCAATGAACGTTTAGACAAGTTCTCTAAAACGAATAATTGCCACCATTCGCAATTTCCAGAGAAATTACATACCTAAAATTATCACATTTTGAAAAAATTCGAACGAAATTACTCTTTGAAAAATCTCAATGACAGAACAAAATACGGCCTGTTTGACTTGTACTTCCACGTACTTGATTGACATGTTAAATTAAGAAACAAACAATTCTGTCCAACCGTTAACTCTCTTATCAATATAATATGTTAATTTAGAGGATTTCAAGTGCTAGTAGTGAAAAAAATAGTATATATACCACGGTAGAGAAGTCTATTATTGCCTTCGCACCTTACACCCCTCGGCGCAAGCGCCTCGAGATGTAATCTTGGTGCTCAGGCAATAATAGTGGACTTCTCTACCTTGATATATAATGTACTATTTTATTATACCTGAATCACAATCTCGGTTTTAAAACTTAAATGCGTGCGAAAAAAGGCCATTAAAGCACACGTGCTTTAAAGTTGCTAAGTAATGATACTTCAAGTATGACTTTTGAAACTGTCATCTGGGGCTGAAATAAAAAATCCTCTTAGGTCGCTTTCTGTAAATGCAGAACGTTTCTTTGGCTTGTACCTATCCTTTGGTTGAAGCTTTCACAAACGCGCGTAATTTAGGGTATGCTTCCAAATCTGTTCCACTTTTTAATCACAGCATTGTTTGAAGTTTTGAATGAATGCAGCAAAAGATAGAAGATTTAAATACCGTTGACATTTCCTTCATATATGCCAGCATTATCGATGCATTTAACACTTTATTCATAAGTAACTTCCTATTCATCCATGGAAACAACTTTTCATATTCTTTATAATAGGCTTTACTGGATTTGGATTTTACACCTACCAACGTTTGTTTAGATTTTACTACAAGCGATTTAATGGGCGGTGTACTATCTTTTTCAACGCAAATCGTTTTATTCACAAAGACGATGTTTTTTATAAGCAAACGTCAAGTGACATTTCCATGGCAATCGTGAAATTACGACCACCCAACCCACTTAATTAAACATGTAGGTATTCGAGTATAACGTCAATATGATTTCATTGTATTTCCTATTTTTAAATTATCCTGCAGGTATAATAAAAAATACTATAAGATACACATGTATAATTGGTCTTTAAAGCACTTGCAACGTTAAAGGCACTCCGCTTTGCGTCGTGCCATTAAACTCGTTGCGCGTGCTTTAAAGACTTGATTATACACTTGTATCTTAATATCCTATTTTAGCGCTCGCTCGTGTCGCAAAATACTCGTGCGAAATAGGCTTCTTAGCACACTTATTATGCAATATACTATAACAATATTATGAAATACAAAGTAAATATAACAAAAAAAAAAGTAAAAAGTAAGTATAACAGTATAACAAGAAAAACGAAAAAGAATAGCTCTGTACGTATAAATTTACACATTAAACATCAAAAACTATAACCACAGATAACATATACAGGGTGTTTTTTTTGGAGCTTTACTTAAACGTTTCTGGGAAAGTAAAATAAGTAGGTTTTTAAAAATTTGTACTTAGGAGTTACTCTGAAGGCCGAATCGATGTAAAATATTTTCAAAATGGCTGCACTTCCGGAAATACCGGAAGTAGATAGTAACTTCGATATTTTAAATGGCAACCCCTATTTTTATTGCATTTTTGGATTCTACGTGAAATTTCGTTCTTTTGAAACCCACATGTCGATATCTGCCGATTTATGGTTTTTAAGTTATTTTGACTTTAAGAAAAAAAAATGGCGGATGCAGATGGTATCCTGATAATTGATTACTTGAAAACGGTTGTAGTCATGGCAACCAATTTTTATCTGTATCTGTATTGTCAAAATATGCCCATTTCGATTCTTTATC